TGATTATTATCACTTACAAGGGGGTAAAATGGATCACATTAACAACTCGATTCCAGATCAATTAATCTTAGTTATTCTGATATGTTTCATTACAAAAACACGTTACAGTGATAATGATTGATCACCATATTTCCGTATTTGCTAGACAACTACTGATAAAGTACTTGGAACAAAATAGAGAGTGAACTAACTTTATTCAAAAAACCTTTCAGAATAGCAGCAGCCTTCACCGAAAGCGATCTCGGGATCCGTATTTGCTTTTCAAGAATGATCTGGAACAAATAGTCTTCAGTATTTTGTTCCACATCACCCACCATACCGACCACATCAAATGGTGAACGACCGGCCATCATTTCATACATCAATACACCAAGCGCCCACCAATCTACGCTGAATCCTGAAAAAATAACGGTGTCGTCGAATACCACGATTCTGTTAGATATATGCTAATTTCCAGTGTCAAACATGAACCATCAAATGTAAAGAAAAGTACACTGGTCTATAATGTTCCCCGGCAGTGTTTATTGTGTACTGAATAGTGAATTAACTATTAGGGAATTACAAAATAATTTCAAAACAATGTGCATAATTGACAAACTGCAGTATGCAAAACAAATGCAACCAGATGCTACACGTCATCTTCAATCCGAAATAACAATACTGACCGAAGCAATGTAACAATAGCATGAGGAAATAAAAGTGAGTGTGAAACGTAAAAATTAAAATAATATATACGTATATCGTGGCGTTGTATAAAGCAATAGAATATTGTTAGAGTACGAATATTCTACTAAAAAAAGACCGTCCAGTTGGCTAAGAAAATGCTTAGTAACTATTTATCCTTCACTTCTTCATCTGTGCACCATCATTATGTTCGATCAGATTTCAATTACACTGGTAAAACCTCGGTAAACTTACCATAATCTTCTCCTCTCAAAATTTCAGGAGCAATATAATTTGGTGTGCCGCAGAATGTACTGGTAACATCGCCTGGTCCAATATTTTCCTGAAAATCATTTCCCATTAAAGAGTAGGTTTCAAATGATACCAAGGAATTAAGTCAAAATTGCAAAATCTTATTGATTGGTAGGAATTGTTATCCCGTACTTTGTGCAGCACATAGCTAGAAGTACCAGAAACAGAAGCCATACATGAGGCCTCTAAGAAGTCATACAACGTCATTTGTCAAACTGTTTCACTTAAACCAATCGGTTAATTACACCATGACTTGAAATATTTTATAAAGGTATGATATATATATACCTTGCACATGCCATAATCTGTAAGCTTAATATGTCCTTCGGCATCTATTAAAACATTATCGAGCTTCAAATCACGATATATTATCCCACGCGAATGGAGAAAATGTAAAGCTATTATTATTTCCGCCGAATAAAACCTGAAATTGTCATAATAAATAATATTGTATATATATATATATATATATATACTAAGATATATGTATAACTATCACCTACCTAGCATGATCCTCAGGTAATTTGCGTTGCCTTTGCATATGGAACATTAAATCACCACCAGGAACAAATTCGATAACAAAAAACAACCGTGAATCAGTCTGAAATGTGGATGAAAAAAAAGAACTTTCTAATTAAAAGCTTCCAACGTGATAAAGGAATAACAAATATATGGAAGAAAGCAAACATATGGGAAATATTTACCTGAAAACACGAATGAAGTCCAACGAGGAATGGATGATTTGATGCCGTTTCGAAAACCGATTTCTCTGTTTGTACCCAGTCGATATCCTGAAAAACGTGTACTGTAATGTAACCGAAAAATTAATTTAAATGAATCACTTTCAGTAAGAATCGAAAATTAAATAGAATACTATATGAATGTTTCGAAAATTCACCTCATCATCACTAAACATTTGTTTTTTGATGATCTTTATCGCATATATAGCACCTGTCTTTTTATGCTCTGCTTGAATAACTTTCGCATAGGAACCTGAAATCACTAAATTTTAATTCGGCAAACCATGAAACCCAAACTGTACCATTGTAAGAGAAACATTATGACACCATAACATTATTACATGAAGTGAAATGCAACATTCAATAATTTAAGGCTTGTTTAAACTGAGCTTACACTCAACGTTGTTGCTTTATTTTCGAGAATACTTTAATTACCTAAACGCTTGATACATTCGACATCTTTCAAAACCAACAACAGAAATGCTCTTACCCCTTCCAATCACCGTTAAAAGATTAAAATCACTCAACGAAACTGTCCATTTTGAATCTTTTGCTGTTGCACCACCAGCTTGATGTTCCATTATACCTTGCTGCTGAAACTGGAAAATTAGCAGTTTTTATATGAAAAATCCAAATAATTTCTTGACGATTAAAAATTTTTTATTTAGCTCATTCTACATCACAGCCACCCACAAATTTTTTTTTTCAAATTAATTCATGTCATATTCTTGATGATTATCATTAGGCTACTTCATACCTTCCTTTATTTTCAATTATCGAAATCTTCATGTGTATTGCATTACACGTGCACAATCCTTGTGTACCTTTAAAGTCACATATTAATGAACCAACTTACAACAGCGACATGTTCAGCTTCAATTTCTGATTCCTTGAATGCCTGATTATCAAGTCCAATACGTTCCATAGCAGCACCACTGAATTTTGGTGAAATTATTGGTGCAGAAGGTGATGGTACGACTGTTATCCCACTACTGTTCTGGAAATGATCTCTGTTCAAAAACTATTTAAATTGTAATTTCGATTTTATTCGGAAAACAGATAAAACTAACACCACCACAAAAACAGATAAAACTAACATCACCACAAGGTTGTCGTACAGCTCTATGACATTTTTTATGGACACAAAGACGGCAATCAGCACATCGATATCCTTGTCGTCCGAGACCCCAAATGTAATCATTGCAAAAAAAACACTGTACTCTTCGATTAAGCCTCTTAGCTTGAAATCGATGTCCATTAACATGATAAAATTTTTTCCAGCGACGTGCTCCTCTCCGATATACCGTTTCTGTTATAGCATATCATTTTTTTTTACTGCTTCTATTAAATGATAAGAAACAAAAAACATCCCAGCACCTCTCCTCAAGAGTTAATTCGAAAGATACTATAATACTTCCCTAACATGGTAAATTAAATCTATCGGTTGAAGGAAATTCCTGAATTATATGAATTATAAAAACTAATCGAATAAGGCAAACATTTTAACATACTATCTTCTCCATGGCAAGGAAGACCAGGCAAAGGAGGAATGCCAAGGAAAACATGCACGTTAAGTTCTGCTTCACCATTCGCTTGCAGCAAACGTATCGCTTCGTCTAATTCACGTTGAGATGATATCGTGCACGGATCACCTAGATTTGTTGGTTAATCGAAACAACAAGCAATAACAACATTTAAAGAGACCAACAAGAACAATAATGGTCACATAATCCTGGTTTAAAAATTCAGTTCTCATCAAGCTTCAATAGCTCAGTAGAGAAAACAAAACGAAACAGAATGAACTCTTAAGCCAGGAAATAGTGTAATGAGCAACTGTGTAAATTTTGCTACCTTAGACAGTTCTGCTGACACTTGAATTTTTCTTGGAATTGAAGGATTTAATGGATACACTGTTGTCAATGTACCACAACTTTCTTTCTACTAGAAGTTCTACAGAGGTTGAGTTTTCGCCTTTTTCAAACTACTAATAGTCGATTTTGATCTCAAATTGACTATTAATTTAATCAAAGAAAACCTTCTTCATCAATCCATTTGACCGTAATCGGCTGATTATAAGCCTGCTTGCAGGCTTCTCGCAAACTGTTCAAAAATGTTTCCATCCGCAGTGGGATTTTCGCATACAAAACTAATACCTTAAAAAAAAAATTTGATACATAACGGCAGACATAACTAAGCCGTATGATTCTTGAAATAATATTTTAAAGGTACATCAATCAGTGTATAATTATCTAATATTCACTCAGTACAGTGACAAAATGGACTTCCCGAAAGAGGTTCATGATGCAGCTATAAGTGTCTGATCATGAAAAAGCTATGAGTGCTTGTATTAATCATTTTTAAAATCAATATGCAACATAAAGAATGATCATTTCAAATTCTTTTGCACAAAGAAAAACTCATACTTGTCCTTGAAAACGTGTCTTTAACTTCACATCTTCCGACGACGACATACTATCTTCATTAGCAACATACATAATTTCTGATCGACTAGTACTAACTAAAATAACGACTACTATCATGGATTAAACAACAATCACCAGTATGACTTTTATGTTCAATAATTGCTTTGACTAGCGCAACGCAATTATCATAATTCATATCCATATCATTAAAAAAAATTACATCGGAATAGCCAACAATTACCATCCATTCATGTACAGTCTCTTCGTTAATTAATACTAACAAAAAAAATGACATCAGATATGCCCATAACTGCAAAGACCACATATATCTAATGATATCGGCAAATTTTAACAAAAAAATAAAACTGACGAATTCCAAAACTGTCATATATTATGTATAAATCCTTGAGAAAAAAAAAGTCGAATTCCAAACTGATTAACACTTTACAAACTGATCGCGTAACTCAAAATTGCGATGTGATAAGAAGGTAAACCAACAGACAATAAGGAAAAACAGGAAGTGACGTTTTAATAGAAATGGAAAACGATTTTACATCCTAAGCAATATTGATGTGTACGCTTATCTTCACTTAACAATATGAGTTAACCTATGAAATGTTTACGAATTTCTCCAGAGCCATATTTATTAGACTAAAATTTCATAAGAAAAACGTCAAATTTACCCTAGTAAGGATCCAGTAAGTTTAATTAGGCCAGATGACAAACACAATCAGTGTACTAAGTAAAGTTATCCTCATCGGATATCACTCTTAACAGACATGAACCAAAATTTAGTGAAATCAATCTTTTTAATAGCTAACAAACACTAAACACCATTAAACTTATTTTTAACCTGAATATGTTAAAACGTGTCTTGTGTGTGAAATGTGAAATGCTTCAACATAGCACACCTTATCATATTCCACCATGACAACAGAATTTCTACACTGGCAACGATAAATGAACCCAAATTGTACGATATAAAAGTACTATTTAGCCAATCCAAAAATATCCATCTTGTTATTTGGCACTGGAAACTGAATGTTAATCCTTCAAAAAAGTTTTGACCTGAAATATTCGATGAGGTGAGCTAATTTTTCGTAAATATATTGAGCATAATGAAGTACGCTAAAATTAACACCTAATACACACATAAACAAATTACAAGTTGCAGCAAAACTAGACAACAGAAAATCTAAACAAAGAACACGATGATAACTACACCACGCCTACCTGACAACAGGTACCATCCACTACCGTTTAACGTATTGGTCATTTCACAAAATTTCGTGAAAATTTTCATCCCACTCCTTGTCTGTTTTTCCAACAATTGAACGGGAAAGTTTGTTTACTGGATTCCATTTTAGAGAACAAATAAATAACGGACCACTGATTGCTGCAAATGCTGCTTTTCCAGATCTAACTGCAACCCTAAATGTAACATCATACACCTAGCGTAGCATCACGCACTATTACAGTATATAACATCATCCGTAGAACCACTATGTAGGGATGATTAGTCGCAAAAAGCACTTGAACAAATACGTGGAACAACCTTTGTGTTGCCACAATTAGACGCAAAAAACGCCTGAACAAATAAACACTTATTCAAGACGTCAGAATCAATGAAGTCTCACATCAAAATCCCACAAGTTTCTCGCGGTATGATCGCATTGCAGTATGTATTGCATCCACTGGTAATTAATCCACTTAAATCAAAATTCCCGGTACTTCTCGTGTTTAAATCACCCATTTTTTAAAACTACCTCAATTTAATCACCATTAAGTTGTAATAAACAGACCACTAAAGCACGTTTTTCTCTTCTACCAAAGTTCATTGCAATGCATTTGTTCACTGTATGAACTTAGCCTGAACTAGCTGTATTTCCTACTCCTTTGTAAGAAACTGACCAACACACCAAAATTTTATTCGGCAATAAAAAGTAAATAAAAGAAAAAAAAAGATCAACTGCAAAAGAGATGTAAGTATCCATACGAAATATAAAAACTGACGAGTAATATGCTTGCGCATAATCAATATTTGAATATAGTAAGGAGGACATGTCGTTTCCACTAATGCCTCTTCACGTATCTAATCAAAATATCACTGAGTTCAATGTCGTGCATTTTCAGTGCTTTTCAAAATACGCCTTGCTTTCTTTCACTCCTGGCTTAATCGTTTCAGATCCCGGATGCCAGTTAGCTGGACACACCTTAAATCGCTTTTAGTAAGACAAGCGTAAATCTTAAGATGTGAGTTCACCAAAAAAACAAAGTTGTGGCTGAAATATAAGATGCACTATAAAATGCACCTACAATAGATGCCCTGACTAACAACATCTACGTACGAAAATTAGCAAGAAAACTCATATAAGCAGTTACATTCCTTACAAGTATAGGTTATTCGGTTACATGTGTCACCAAGATGCCATGAAGAGAAGTTCACGACGTAACACCAGTAAGCTATTCGAGATTTTACTTAAATCGTAAGAATTTTTAAAACAATGAGAACTTACTTCACCATGCTTATCAACAAACTGGAAAGCTTGAATCAGACGTAAAGTTTCGTCTACAGAACGACCCACTGGAAGATCATTAACAGTGATCTGCCGCAAAATCCCATTTGGATCAATGATGAATAATCCACTGAAATATGTTTCGAGACAGAGTGGCATAACTTTCAAGCAACTAATTTCAATGAATTCTAGCAATTTGATTCCAACCGAATTACAATACGACAAAAGAAGTGGAACAAACGGACAAAGTACAAGCCACGCAACTGGCCAAATGGTGCATTATCTCCAACGATTTAACACTTCCAGACATATCAAACTCATAATATTTGCACATACCGATAGGCAATCCCATCATCTTCCTTGAGCACACCATATGCTCGGCTGATTGCATGATTCGTATCGGAAAGAATAGGTATATTCATCTGACCAAGTCCACCCATTTTTCGATCAGTATTTACCCAAGCAAGGTGCGAGAAGTGCGAGTCTGTTGAGCATGCCATAACAGCGACATCCAATTGTTTGAACTCCGCAATACGATCAGAAAAAGCAATTATCTCCGTTGGGCAAACGAATGTGCTAAAAAACAATAAGTATGCGATGAAACTTACTTTCCCTTCTGCTTATTTCAGAAATAACAGACCCATCTCTGAAAAATAGCCACAATATCTGAAAATCTTGATTGTATAACCATTTCCCTTATGAATTTATGAGTACTCAAAAAAGCAGAACATACAAATCAAGTGGATAAAAGAAGAGCACCACATATTTCCCCTTATACTGACTAAGTGAAATCTCCTTGAAATCACCATTCAGAACCGCTGTTGTTTTGAAGGTAGGAGCTGGCTGACCAATAAATGCTTTACTTCCGGCAAGTGTCATCCTGAAATTCATCCATTCACTAAAATAATATATAAATTCTATGATAGCTCTCACGTAAAACACGACGAAGACATACGAAAGCAAATGGCTCCATCGACCTATACATACGTGTTCATCAAGAATACAAAAGAGCCAATTTTGACGAAGACAATGTTACTGGTCATAATAGGAAGAAAGTTAAACAGCACCGAATACTAGAGGGTCTCATATTCTGCCACTGTCAGTTCATTAAATGAATTTGCAATTGTCTCAAATATCAGAGACAAACAAGATAGTAATAGAGGAATGGTCCGCTGATACACAACAAACGAAAATCTTATTCTGTTCCAAAATATCAACTATCGTGTACATACTAAAGCAAAGAGAATTATCATAAATGCTCTGGAATTACTGAATTACCTATCGAGAGCTATCAGAATAACACAAGTTCACCTCAATGGAAATCCCAAAATAAAGAGAGAATAATTGTGATCAAAGATCATATACGTAGCTAAAGATCATATACGTAGTATCAGTTATCATAGAACTACCACTAAAATTCCCCAAAATGCAATAGATGGCTGGCAAAGAAGACATAAACCGATCCAAATATCATGTAGAGAGAGGGAGATAGAGGAGAGGAGAAAGGAGAAACGAGGAGGTGCAATGTAATCTCTAACAATGGTATTGTTTCCATTGTTTCGAAAGGAGACAAGAACATATTTAGAAAGAGCATATCGGGAAGAAATACAATGAGAAAGGCGAAATGGAGATTTGACGTATGAATATCACCAAGGTGACAATTTCTTGCCAGAATGAATAAGATTCTAAAGTTGAGTATTCGAGAAAATTGTCAAAGCATTGCGAACCTTTCATTGCTATTAGTCAATAATTTCTCTTGGCTCAGATAGCGATATGTGAATTGCTAATTTTCTTGGCATATTATAAACAACTATAAACTGATACACATTTCAGTGGCTGAAAGAAAAAAATATCTGTTCTGTTACAAATTATTTTAAAGAAATAATCTTGCTGTAGAATTCCAAAAGGTTTTTGAACCTTGGCGAAAAGGACGAAGGCTAAAAATTTGAAGGACAAGGATTGGCCTATTTGCTAATTTCTTTCCTTTTTTTTTAAACCTTACATCTTGAAGTTGGAGATATATCATCTATAGCGCTGCTACTTTCTTTGAGAACACATACACAGAATTAATTAGTCTCGAGGAAAAATGACGACGCAAAAAAACCGTATCTCATCAATATCGCCTAACAAAACTTTCTGCTATGTCTTTTGCAACCGAACTTGTCTATCTCATACTGCTGGCCTTCTTGACCATCAGAGCATGAGTGTAGCCCCTCTCATATTTTCTCTTCCTAAAGCCGAACCACGACGATGACTGCAACAATACGACGACACCATAGTCATCGCCGTTGTCTACTGCTGTAGTTGTCGTGTAGTCGTAGTCGTTGTTGTCAACTACGACGACGACTACACGAAATAGAAGGAAAAAGCAGTGATAATTGTGATTTAATATCCCAAATATAAGTAATGGCTGATTCTTATGTAATAAAACTCTTTGGAACCATACGTATCATCTATCAAACATTCATAGCACTGAGTACGCTTCAATGCTACAAGTTCACCAAACATATTCTCCTGGCAGTCAAACTTTTTCGCTGAACGTCAACTGTGACTTATAACTTCCCATCATTTTCACGTTTCGTAATAATATATGAACGACGTAGATATACAGGTATACGTGAATTTACTGAACCTACTTGAAACACTTATTGAAAATTTGAATAGAACGAATGTACAACGCGCAAGAAAACATGATGTAATCAGTACAATTCGAAAACAGTGAAAATGCGGGCAATCGGGAGGAAGAATGTCTTTTATAGGGATGGTTAACTAGTACGTCAAAGTAAAACTGTATGTTCTGAACGATGGAAAATAAATCTGTCCCTATAAGGACAATCAGATTGCAATAGTTGTTACAAAGACATGACAAGCATGATATTCCAAAGGACAAAGGGAAAGAAAGAGAGAGAAAGAGAAGGGAAAAAAAACGGTAAACTAGTTGTAAACCGAAGCAATCATTTCGCAATACATTATTATTTGTATCTAAAGAAAGAAAAAAAAAAGTGACATGGTTTTGAAAATGAAATTGTGAACTTTTTTACTTCTTCTTTACCTTCTCTTCCCCCTCTCCCTTCTTCTCTTTTCCATACTCGCAATACGAATAATTTTAGATCATTGATGCAAACCATTCCATTAAGTCGAATTTTTTACTTTTTCTTTTCTTTCGAATTTTCTACTTTTTTTATGGTATAAAAAAATTTACTTTAACTGTAAAAATTTGTGAAAATTTACTTTAAATAAAAGTGTACTTTTTCTAAATTATTTTCGATAGCAACAATTAAATTGTATTTCATCATTACTGATAGTTGATATTATATTCACGATGTTTTTTCTTTGATATGTCATGTCGATTAAGTTAGATTAACATCTTATTTTTACGTGTTTTAACGTCATATGCTATGCTTCAAAAAAACAATAGCTTGATGGTAAATTAAACGTATTCATATTATTAGAGGGAATAATTATACCTTTTACTCATAAGATTATGCCAATCAGAAGCGTCATATTATTTAGTCATCAACTAAACGTAATGTTAAGTATGCAAATATTTGTATTGCTAAAAAATATCATATTGATGTACGCTATCGTATGTAACGTATCTTCCAGTAATTGTTGAACTTATATCACCTGTCAAATGATTTCAACGACACTCATCCAATGACAACATCCATTTAATCACTTTACCAGTGTTTATTAATCTACCTAATTCATGACAGCAAAAATATTCAAACCTTATAAGATATAACTGGAAAAGTATATCATGTGAATGGAAGCACTAAATGCATGAATATACTCCTAAATGAATAACAATTTTGCGATATTGAAAAGTAACCTTTGGAATTTTAATTTGAAGATATTTTAATATATTCCGTATCGCAGTGATTAATCGTATGTAATACGTCCATATACCGCTGCAGTAAAAATTAGTTTAGATTGAAAAACATCACTGTTATAATTTATGATGGGAAATAATGATGATTAAGTCAATATCATTAGAGTAGATACGAAAAATGATTTCTTTCAACTCGTATATTCAAATGTTCGCTTTCAAAATTATTCAAAATATTATTTTGCAGTTTGACCTGTTATACCAAATATTATCTGATACATTACGCGATATTAGTTTACTCAAAGCTGATAATACTATCGATAATTTTATACGAAATAACCAGCTGAAGTTTCTTATTATCCCATCCTGTAGAGCAATAAATTGATGCAGATTGTACGAATTTGAAGAGATAAACGAAGAATTTTCTATGGAATAATGAAATAAATCTAACTGATCAATTCTAATGATATTACCAGTATGAATGAGATTGATTCCCATGTTCAGTTTCATTGTTTCCCTCCACTTTGACCCAAGCATTCTGCAATTTCGTTGCATATCCAACTTCAGCATAACTGCAAATGCAGATGAGTCATCCGCGCAATAAAGATGATGCTCAGATCAATGTGATTTGTGTAGCATTGTGTCATATCATGTTCCGATTCTAATGTTGTTCAAGGCTCAATTAACCTAATGGTTTATGTGAAATGAAACCATTTCATGATTAACTGAATTTTTTTTTCCAAGCAAACGAATCTTTTTGTTGCATAGCTATGGCACTTACATTTAAGTACTCAATCGAAAAAAACAAACTTATAGAACTTCAAACTGCAAAATGCAAAGTGTAAAGATCTGAGATCAACCAGAATGCCATCAAGCACATCACATCCTATCGAATTTTATTTTAGCTTAGGCAAAAATAATAAAATGAGCCAAAAAACTGGATGGAAAATGAATTCTGAACTCTGGATCATAATGGTGATCAAATTTATTGCAGCACATCTGAGAAATACATAAACATGAGAGTTCAAATAAATTCGGAAACTAATTGGAAATTTCTATTCTCTGAAGAAATAGTAAGAACCAGAATCAATATAATTCTGCAATTTAAACAATGAAACAAATAATATAAGAGCACAAAGGTTAAATCCTTTCCCTAACTATACAAATTAGCCTTTGCGGTGGAGTGTCTCTTTGACTTGACCAAATTTTTCTTGTTATTGGTCGTCCTCACCCTAATTCATTCATTACTGGAAGTAGGAAAAAACTTTTCACTACTTGTTGTACAGCAGTAAATCATGAGATTCGGTAAGTTATTTGAGTCATCAAACGATAGATGATTTTACCAACAAGTTACCCTGAGGTTCGCCAAGAATAATTGATAGTATTAACTTAAACCATATCATCAACCATCAATCGTATCATCAAATCCATCACATCAGCTTATTTTCACCCTTTATTTTTCTGTGTTAACATTATCCCGGAAAATTTTTCAAGAATTTAGCACACAAAACTTGTTTTCGAAATTTATGGCCAATCTCCGAAAACAGTTATATTCCTGTTAAACATAAATAGCCATTAAACAGAAAAATCCTACTGATCTTATTAAACAAGATGATATTTTCTACGCTATTTGTAACCATTAGGTAAAACTTCATGTATTAAACTTTCCAGTTGCACAACGAAATTATCCATCGCAAAGACAGACTCAACTCTTTTACGACCAGCATTACCCATAGCCTCAGCTCTACCTTGATCTCTTACAAGTTCCGCCATCTTTTCTGCAAATGAATTCGGATTTTCCTCTACCAAAAATCCTGTTTCTCCATCAATAATAGTTTCGCGTGGTCCACCACTATTTGGTGCAATCACACAACATTTCATATACATCGCTTCCACAGGTACAATGCCAAAATGTTCATTGCTTGGCGTATATAGTACTGCTGTCGCACGCCTCAATAATTCAAGCTTCTCTTCGTCGGCTATAAAATTTTAAATAACTGTGATTAAAATACCGAGTAGTCAAATTTCCAGTATAAGGATCAATAGAAAACTGAATTTCGTATTCGTTTCCCAAGAAAACTAACTGCTAACATACTTGGTGACTTCAGAAATACATATTGCTCTCTGGGCAGGCCCAATGCAATTGCATTTTCCCGTAATTCGACAAAATGTGCAATGTTCTCGTCATTTATGATATCATAGCCACCAGCAATAATAAGAAAACAGCACCGATAATCGTCTCGCGGAATCTTTCCCTGAAGTAAACCTAAAAAGGACCGGAGAGTTACAATTTTCAAATTCACTGAGCTGAATGAATTTCGAATGTAAAACATTCAGCTCTTTTGCAGCACGAAAGTCATCTTTCTAAATACAAGTAAAGCAAAAAAAAAGTAAATTTGAAAAACAAACTAAAAGCTTCTAATGCAAGGCCAATATTCTTTTTCCTTTCATATCGATTGATTGATACGAAAATATGTCGCGCTTTCTTTGGAATTTCATTCAATTCAGCTCCTCTACCACTATCAAAAAATTTGGTATTCAGTGTAGGATAAAGGACATGAATACGTCGAGCACGAATGCATGGGAATGTTTCACTCACAGTTTTACTCGTGAATTCACTATTCACACAAATTAAATCGGCCATTGCTGTTGTCCACGTCTAGAAGCCATACGAAAATGTGAGTGGTTGAAAAAGAAAAATTCCAGTTTCCTCAATTACTCAAGTGAAGATAAAAAGGCTTTTTACTGTCATATCTAAGACACGCAAAATATAAAATTCTCATATTTTACATAGTCTAGTAAATATTTCAAACAAAAAGTTTTTCTCACCGCTCGCTACTATCATAAAACCTTTGGAATCAAGAAGCATGGATGATAACAAATGTCAAATATATGTACTTCTGCATCTGAAGTTAAACTGAAACTTAGAAGTCAGCAAATAAACTCTGCCAACAGAGACATTTATCAAAATTTTATTGTTCTGAAATATAATGCCAATGAGGCTTACTTCAAACCAGTCAATGAAAACACGGTAGAATTTCTTTATCATCCTCTTTCTCGTTGTTAGCAGTTGATCCGGAAAATGACAATAGAAAATGGTTGGTGCATTGAATAAACCAAGTAATCGAAATATCCGAAAAATCAATAAACATGAAGAAATCTGGAAAATATTGCAAGTTTTCCATATTTTACAGAATTTATAAATTTCAATCACACATTAGCAAATATAAAACATTCGAGATAAAATACCAAAATCTTTGTCAAAAATTGTTACAGGAAAATAAAATTTCCCTATTTATTCCAAATAAAAGAACTCTTACAGAATCAGAAAATATGAGTTCTGATTTTTTCAGAAATATGCAAATATATAAAGCCGCGATACACATCCTGACATAAGCACACAAAGCATGCCCAAATCCGAAAAATGACCGTGGAAAAATATCAATAACTTTGATATCTGAAATGAATCTGAGTGAAAACTGGTGATTTTTTGGATGTGAATAGAAACTGATTAACATTTTCAACACTAACAATTTATTTTTCGTCTCCTTGTTTCAAACAATTTTTTGTCAACTATAAAAGGGCATTTCTCATTTTTCTCACAAACAAAAAAAGAATCTCCGTAACAGTAATAAAACGTAACGGATCAAAAAAAACCTTACCACTTATTAGATTATATCAGATCAATATAATTTCATCATTTAAGCTTATGATTTTGCTAAAAAAAGATAATTAGAAATGTTCTAGGAGTGAAAGCGGACGAGTTTAAGGTGTCACATTCATACTACTTCATCTTCCTACGAATATTATCCTAATAGCAATAGTCTCCTATTAGTAATAATAGTTTCATGACAGGTACTGGGTTATTCTTACAGCAGCTATACCTCAGAAGAAAAAAAAAATTTTTTTTCGAGTAAAAATTTTACTACCAAAAAGTTGTCATAAGAGACCTGATAGTTAATATTATTAATAATTTCTCTACAAGTTACAAGCACGTCATACTCACCAATAACTGTACTATGTAGTATAAATTCGAAATTGAAAAATGCTAGTGAAAATTTAACCAAATTCTGTAGTTTCCATAAATGCATGCTTGGGATCGAAATAATTTGTAACGAATTGTACTCTATGACCATTTCGTTTCATCGCAACCGCTACATCCACAACCAATCTTTCCGCTCCTCCAATACCCAAATTCGGATGAATTATCGTCACAAGCATCCTGAATTGCAATAATGCTAGTAATATTAATAATAAAAGCAATAATAATAGTAATAATAACAATAACAGCAATAATAACAATAATAACAATAATAATAAAATAATAATAATAATAATATATATGTATACATGAAAAGTTGCATAATCTTATCATCTCCTTATTTTGCTTTGAGAAGTCAAAATAATATGACAATGTGACATGAAAATCTCACTTCTTAAACATCTTCTGATTCACAATGAAATGTGACACATTTAACAAAGTACCAAATGTATAAGTATGGTCATTTAACAAAATCACCTCGAAATTCGATATTTTTAGAAATGATGAAAACTTCTGGAAAATTCCTGATATGGAAAACAGATAACGAATATCTTTTATCTCGGAATGCAATTAAAAAGCGGAAAATTTCGTCAACAACTGCCCACATTTGATTTAACAGAGAAAATTAGGGCGGAACAAAGTATTATTAATATTGAAATATTGGGAATTAAAACAAAAATAACGTAAAAGCGAAGTAATAGTGTGACATTTACACTGTACTGAAAATGAAACTGATGATATGAGCAGTTTATGATAAAAAATGATAACCAGATTGATGTGATGAGCAGTTTGTGAAAGAAAATAGTAACCGGATTTATATAATAGAATGATAAGAAGTCAAGTAAGAATGAAGGAATGGAAATTACCAGTTAAGTGATTAAGTTTGATAAACGTGATGTTTGCGCTAGGCGTATATTTGCGTTTTACGATGAAGACATCATCGATAACGGGGATATCATCCGAAACGGAGTACTTAGGTTAAAAATCAAAATTCATACACGTGTAACTTTTCATGGATAACGGAAATTAGTGATATTATTTGACATTCCATTAAGAATGTGTCATATATACTTGCCAGAAAACCATTTAGAAAATTAGATGACGTAAGGAACATGAAGCGTAAAACACGTAAAATGCACGAAAACATAAGGACAACCCACTTTGATGCGAAATGTTACGAATACTTTAGCAAATTGTACCTTGCGGCTTGCGACTTGCGTCGTAAAGTAATTGACACGTCATGGGTCGAAGTATTGGCGGACAAAGTATTGGCATGTAGGGGAGAGATTTGGAAAGACATCTGGGTAGCGGTGTCATTTTGGGCGGGCAAAACTAGTCCTTATTCATTATGGGCAAAATTCGTCCTAATTTGTTTTGGACGGGTGAAGTTTATCGTAAATCGTTTTGGACGAGCAAAATTTGTCCCTTTTGGCAAGCAAAATTAGCCCTAGTTCATTTTGGGAGAGGCTAAATTTGTTTTAAACACGACAATTCAGGGTAAATTTCGTTATTTCAGGAAGTCCTTAATGAACTTGAAGTTAACTTTTTTTTTTAAACAATTCTTAGTGAATTTAAAGTTTAATAAAAAAAAATTGAATTCGAAATCTTTGATTAGCGAAAACGTGCATTTGATCATATTAGATCAGTATAACACTGCTAATTGAAATATGCATATTTGACTGTAGCGGTTATGCTCTTTAAATTTTTATTATTTAAAAACAATAAACATTTAAAGATGCAAATATACCTCATATTATCAGCGAGAGTCGTGTGATGTACACGTGACACCATAATGATAGAGATTTACGTAATTAATTGTCAATTAATGTATACGTGGTACCATAATGAAGAAGATTTACGTAGTCAGCTATTAATTAATGCATACGTGATACCATAATGATAGAGATTTGCGTAATTAGCTGTTAATTGATGTATACGTGATACCATAATAAAGAAGAATTACGTAGTTGTTAATATGTGAATATCATTTTTACGCACTGATTGGGTTCCAAGAGAGAGAGAGAAAAGGAGAAAAGAGTCACATGACATGTCACATGATCACATGGTCATGTGATTTTTTTTTAAATGTAATGTTTATTTGTTCTCGGTAACGGTATCCAAGTCATTTAGCATTTGTATTTTCAGGTGTGAAATAATGCCAAAAAAGAGTCGTGGTCGAAGACATCGCTTAAATGAGCACAGTATGGATGTTACACATAATATCGGTAGAAATCGTTTATATCTACTTTGATATCTTTTATTTGTTCCGATTGTGAGTTCTGGAATTGAACAATTGGGTTCAAGAAGCATTCTGTCTTCCATCCTGAAAATTTCGCATTTTTTGTCATTGGGAGCCATGGAATCATGCGGTTCTGAATAGAATATTATCGGATTAGTTTTTAACGCATGTCCTATTTTATTTATAACTGTCAGGTTAAGGATTAGTTGATTCTTCCTTTTTTTTTCTTCAGGAAGAAATTCCGATATATGTAATTCATCGATTCAGTCAGAGAATTTGGGGTCGGAAGTAGGTTATGTTTGTGTTATTGTTACTGATTTCTTAAGCATGTCTTTAGTGAAGCTTTAATGTCACAGTACTTTTTATTGAAGAAGAAAGTATAAAGAAAAGTTTAAAGCATTCATGGCTTAGTGGAAACCGATAATTCATTAATGATGCATTAGCGGTTGAATTTTTGAAGCTAGCTTTCGGCTCCGACCTGTTTAATCAGGAAGGATTACTAAATTATTTCGTGCGTTATTTTTTTGTCATGAGTGTTCATTTATATATGATTGTAAAGTTTTCCTCAAAATTGTTAAAATTAGAATCAAACAAGTTGCTATTATTCTGGCTCACATAATAGCTATATATTCTTGTCATTAGCTATAAACACATCATGACTAAAGTATGAATCGAAGAACGTTTATTTCATTTATTGGAAAATTCCAAAAGTTTGCATCCTGTGATATGCAGGTACTAGATGAACAGAAAGCTTTAGTTCTGCTTACCAGCGGAACTGTCGCCGTCTAATGTTGTGCATAAAATTTTTCTTTGCATTTCAGAATAGCTCCAGTCATAATTCATATTCTGTGCCCGGAAATATTTCATCACAGTCTTACGTCCAAAGTACGCAACAAAACGCAAGGTCCCGTAATTTTTGGTTTGTTTGAATGGCGTTACCGTAATTTATGACTGTAATATGTTATTGTTATCGTTTTCTTTTATGGAATGAAAAAAAGAGGAACTGTTGTTGATAAAAATGGTCACTTTCAGAATTCCATCCAATGGTTGTCTATGCACCATACTTCCACGGTTACCACCAGCCAAAGTACACGAGAAAGTTATTGTAAAAACGAACGTTTATGCGTTTGAAATAACAGATCGCATCGTTTATCGTTACGATGTGCGCATCGAAGCATGTTGCGGAAGACCACATACGGCAAATGCTGTAAAAATAGATTTATGTCGTGGGAAACAGGAGTAAATATTTTATTACTGACGTTGTCGGTTATATTTAAATTCCCAGGAAATAAAAGATGACTTTTCTATGTATATGTTTTTTTAGCCCATATCGAGCTAAGAAATGTATAATTTTAATCGATATGGCATTACGAAGATATCGACAATTTAAAGAATTTGCATATGCATATGATTTGTCAAGCACGTTATTCACCAATCAACCGTTGGATTTAAAAGAGGTATGATGAAATGAAAGAGATAAGTAGTTTGTGCAAGTGACATATATTATATTGGAAAACTGTTGTTAACTTCTTAAATCGGAGCGAAATTAAGCGAAAGTTTTGAGTAAGGTGGCCTCTAATTTTGAATTAATGGGTTTTGCAAACTTTATCCACTTTCCAACGCCTAAGATTCTGCGTTCTTTACGGTAAGTCAAGGATTCAATCCATTCTAGTTTCTGAATTCTGCTTTCTCAAAAACAGAAAAGTCCTCGAGTACCCTTTGGCCATGTAATGATTTTACCTCTAGATGTGTGGGTTTTACACGAAACTTTTTAAAAGATGCATAAATTTTACCTAGATAAGGATGTCAAGAAATCCAGATGTTCTTGGATAACTAATAGACATTATTTTCAGGTGTCTGAAATCACCGTATCGTCCAATAATTCGCAAGAATTACAAAAAATGTTTGGTAGTAACGTGAACATAACTATAAACATTAGCGAGTGCCGAGAATTTGCTCGCTCATTTCATACTACAGATTTTAATTCATCCATTACTCCCAATTTGCTGGCTCAGGATCACTCTTTGCGTCAGTTTTATGAAATATTAACAAATCAACATGGTTTACGAAGGTTAGATTTTAGAGATTTTTGTAAACTGCATGTGAACTTTTGTTATCTTTTCATAATGAAATTGATCTCCAGTATTTTTATCTCCAGTTGTGGTTTTTACAAGACGGTATTATAATCCGGTCGCATTAACTTCCAGTAATATAGTGACTTAAAACACATCATGTTTTTAAAATTTGTTACTTTTTAATATATTTCAAATTGATCAACGTATGGCTTGCTTATTTCATCTTGTTTGTGCACAGTTATCAGGTTAATCTTAGATTAATTAAGTAAAGGGATGTTCAGTTTTCTTATTTTAGTGGATTGTATTTCTCATTCGGTTTTGGTCGGTTGTATCAAGAAAAAGAAAACATTAAATTGAAAGATGGAGTTAAACTGTTAACGGGTGCCGACAAAAGTGTCCGTTTTGTCCAGGGCAGCCAATCAACTGGTTTAGTTCCAGCACTGGTACTTGATGGTATGCATGTCATTAACTTACTTATGACTACCTTGACTTTTAAATATAATTCTTTTTCTCTTCAAGAGAAACAATTTATCCTTTTTAGAAAAAAAACACCATTCTTCAATGAAGAAACATTGATGAATTTTGCCGCTGAAATATATAAGCCAGAAGCTCCAAATACATCCATCCCTTATTTGAGTGGAAGAAAATTTCAAGATTTTATACGCTGCGTTGAACCGACGATAAAAGGTAAGGTTTTCGGTTTTAACGGGAAAAAGATTTAATGTTTTTGGGACTTTCAAATTCCAAAAACTATAGAAACTAATGAGAAATTAGTTTCAGTAATTAGTTGTTATGGAAGGAAGCAGGCACCTCCACTTTACAGCATACATCTCCACTATGCTCAATTCAAAAATTTCAGCCTCTTTATCAGCCCAAATTATTTATTTGTGATTTACTCTTGAATTTTCGCCAAAGAATTACACGGTTTGAAATATGCTTTTCATCTTTTAGGCCTTCGTTTACTTCGCTTAAATAATACTAAAACATTCATCGCAAATGGCTTGTCGACGAAACCAGTCAAGAATCTTAGGTGCTTAAGTTTAATCAGTTTATTTATCGTTTCATAATTGATGCTGGCTTCCAAAATAAATAATGATTTGGTATCAAACTTCCTCTAAATCTTAAATTTTAGCAGTAAATCAAGACATAAGATGCATAAGGTAATTATATAAATGAGAAGATTGATATTAATAATTGTCGGTAAAAATGACGGATATAAATGAGAGAAGAGGAGATGAAAACAAAATACGGATAAGAAGACAGAGAAATGAAAAAAAAAATGACTAATTTACTACTTGCTATAACTCATATTACGGAGAAGGAGCTGAAATCATATTGAATAAAATAAAAAGCCTATTATAGTATCATTAATAAATATCTTTTGTTGAGTAATTTTTGCTTACAGAAATGAACGAATGCCGCTAATGGAAGCGTATAAAAGGCTGGGAATTGATATCAGGTTAATTTTCATTCCCTCTTGAAAAACTATCGTTGCTAAATGATTGCAATATTTTTGCTGATACTTCCATGAGTTTTGTACATTTTTAGAACTGAATTTCATTGATTTTAAATACACTTGCAGACCTGATTTGCCAGCTATTGTTTTGAAATCACGCTCCAGTCAAGCCTTTTTCCCCTTTGAAATTTTGTACGTTACCCCAAATCAGAAGGTCCCAGATGCAAAACTCCGACCGAATCAGAAACAAGCTGTAATAAAGGTAAGAGTTCGACAGTTTTTGTTATGTTCAATTTATTTTTATTTCTATTTGTGAAATTGTATATCTTTTCCATTTCCACTAAAAATACAAATTCACTTTCCTTTATGCTGTCCAGTGATCACTCAGCATATCGTTTTTCTGAATAAATTTATCAAACAGAACATTTGCAAAACCAGCCCTTCTTTTGTCCACGACGCTTTGCTGATTTTTTACATCCCGTGATTATTTAAATTTGCAATTTGCAGAATGTTTTCGTCAGCTATGTTGTGCAAGAATGAAAACAGTTAAAAATAGCAGCTAGTAGCCAAAAAAAAATTTCCTTCAGTACTAAACTCATACGTCAATGCGTTATTTACCCTAACACTTTTTGTAGAATTCAGTCGTAACTCCGGATGTACGACATAAAGAAATAGAACGACATATGGAAGCGTTAAATTTGAGCGGAAGCAAATTCAATCCCATTTTGGCAGCATTCGGTGTTCGAATTAGTAAGAACCCATTGGTGGTAGGTTTATTGAATTGGTATTTCTCTTTCTTGGTTTAGATTTTCATAATTTACCCAAAAGTAAATTTTTACATAAACTCAATAAAAATTGTAAGCAAGATGCAAGTTGTATGGGAGAAGGAGATCATGTTATATTCGACCTTAAACCAACTTCATTTTAGGTTGAAGCTAATCGCCGTATACCGCCAAAGATTTCTTATAATCCGAAGTGCATCATGAATGTTGCACCAAATAAGGTAATGATTTTAATGTACAGTGAAAAAAGTCATTTTTTATAGTTCATTATTTCCAATTGCTTTAATGACTTGTTTTTCAATTAAAGTTAATTCTTTTGCCCTTCCGAAAAGTCGCAAGGAAAACCTATAGAAAGGAAGACCACATTAAAATTTTTTAATTTAAAAACTGTTATGCTGCTGGTGGTATAACTTTATATTTTTAATTTAGGCTAGCTGGAACCCTGGAAATAATCAGTTTGCAATTCCAGCAAGAATTGACAATTTTTATTTGTTTTATGACAAGGACTGCAATGTAAATGTCATGACGTAAGTATCATGTTTAGACATTTAGGAACCGTGAGTTGTATAAATGGATGGGGAAATGCCTAATAACTTAGTTCGAAATATTCTTTAGTTGTTGTTGTGGAAAATTCGGCTCAAAATACCATAAAAACTTTGATTTAAACGTAGAATTGGCCATGATAAGGGAGATTGGTTTTTATATTAAGCAGTAGCAATCTTGATAGACGATAAAAAGAATCCTGATTTTCATCTCTTCCACTGAATTCATAAAGTTGTGAATAAAGACTTCTCTAGTTCCAACTTATGTCCCTTCGAAAGATTTGAGATCACAAAGTTATTCTGATCTGGCTTAAATTATTCTTGAGTTTCATTGGCTTAATGCTCTGTTCTCATTCAATTTGAATATGTATTTTCAGGAATTTCTTCCATTCACTTTGCAGTGCTGCGATAAAAAAGGTATGAATTTCAATAAAAAATTTAAGAAGGAAATTTGCTCAAATGAATTGGAAGCAAGTATAAAGAAAGTGGTAATGGAATCTTCTGCAGCAACAAATTTCTTCATGTATGTTGACAACCGAGAACATACTCATGGTTAGTGTTATAGCTTATTGATTCACTACATCTCATTCGGTTGGTAATAACAGTAATCAGTAATTGAAATCGTAATGTCTAGTTTTATGTTCACCTATTTTCGGAAGCTTAAGGCAAACGGAGGAGTTGACCTACAATATCGTTGACTTAGCTGATCAAACAGAAATAACCTGATGACTGATATTATAAACTTCTTTTCAAAAGCCAATGTCAAGCTTGTTTTGTTTAAGAATATCAAATAGAGTTATGCTTGCAGCCATGTTAGATATCATGAGGCATAACGTTCCGTTAAATAATTGGGCTAGCTTGATAATTTGTAATATTACTGTACTGCCTGTAATTCATGAACTTTTTCTCGAAATTTTGAAAGCTCTGTGAAGCAAACAGTACAATTATAATCATATTTGAGACCAGCTTAAACTGTATGAAGCACTTTATCAAGTGGTCACGCAGCATGTACGATATTCCACTATAACAGATAAGGCACATTCAATTGAAAATATCATCAACAAAATGAATGTTAAAAATTTTGGTCACAATTATCGTACACTGCCGGAAAACTATGCGTTAGTTTTCTATTGTCTTTCAATTTTTTTATTTGCACTTCTCTTTCCAATTGAAATTGAATGATTTTTGTGAAATTTCCTAAAACTTCGCCAGAAATTTGATACTATGGAAATACTTACATCAGGATTAAAAGATGGTTATCAAGTGGTAATACGCTAGTTATTGGATATGATGTTTGTCATCCGGAACCGCAATCTGCGGTTGAGCGTCGTTTAAATTTAATATCTACCCAACCAAGTGTTATTGGAGTAAGTCTCTTTACAGTTAATTTTCGCAAATCCGTTGATTGAGGATGCTGCTTCAGATAAACTGTGAAAAAGCAGGGAGAGTTACTTATCTGCTACATATTTATTTTTGTACTTTGATGTAAAATCACTTCCTTTCTGATTAACTTTAAATACAGTTTTCATTCAATGCTGCGAAGGAGCCAGAAACTTTCATAGGAGATTACGCATTTCACGAACCTAGGCAGGAGCAAGTTACTGGTTCCATCCTCGAAGAACGGATGTTTCATATTTTGAAATTATTCCGTGAAATGCGTGACAAGTTGCCAACATTAATTGTTATCACACGTGATGGTGTTTCAGAAGGACAGCATAAAATGGTAAATTTTATAATCTTTTGTGGTATTTGTAGAAGCGAGAAAGTGTGAGGAAGAATGTGAGGCGAGAAATGGGAAGAGAAGTTTGTGAGCTGGAGCAAATTTCATGACTAAGAGAAGATAAATTCTGAATTTTCTAATTTCTGATAAATTCTTAGTAATGTGATTAAGGATCAACACAAAGTCGCTAATTTGGATAAGGATATTACATTTGTATTTACTTCAGTGGTGAATGTTTCAGGTGATGATAGACGAACTGGAAGCTATACGCACTGGAATACAAAACTATGCTGATTTTTATATGAAAACAGAATATAAACCAAAAATAGTACTTCTTATTGCTGTGAAACGTCACAACAAACGTTTCTTTATCGAGACAGAAAAGGGTTAGAATAAGTTTCGGTCATTTCCGCATATTTTATTGTTTGAAAAAGTCAGGAAGAATAAGACGATATGTAAAAGGATCACTTCATGTGTAATGAGATAAAAAGCCTTCCTAATATCTGAAACTCTTTCCTTCTGTATGCCTAACTTATGTTTGTTAAAAATTTATTACAGTTGGAGTAACTTCTGTTTGCAAGCTTTTCAAACTTAGATTCAAGTCCGGTGTTTATTTTGGGAATGGTACTTTTTATTCAGATCGTATTCATTTGGAATTTGGTTTATTTTTTTCCCCCTCCAGGAGTAATTCAAAATTGTTTGCCCGGAACCGTTATTGATCATACAGTGACACGTGTCGATGCAACAGAAATTTTCATGCAGTCACACAAAGTAATAAAAGTAAGTATAAGCCTTCTTTCCGATGTTTATGCGGAAACTTTCATTGTTTCCTGTTATTCGGTAATCGCATTTGTACATTAGCAAAAATTTCTTTGATAGGTTATATATGGAATAAGTATTCTTAATAAAGATAGGGTTGAAACGAGCAGTGGAGAGGTCAAATTTAATACTTTTGTTTTGTTTTGTTTTTTTTCTCTTTTTTGTTTCAGGGAACCGGCAAAATTCCAGCCTACACTTTGTTAGTGAATGAGGCTGGTATGGGAATGGATGAGTTACAAGCGTTTATCAATGCTCTTTGCTATGGTCACCAAATTGTCACATCTGCAGTTTCATTACCAGAGCCAATTTACCAAGCAGACGAATGGGCAAAAAGAGGACGCAATAATTTTCGGACTATGTAGTAAGTTTATTCGAAATGCATAATTATTCCACGAATTTAAATAATATAGTTCATAAATTTCATGTGGGAAATTTAACAAAAAAATTTACTTGCACCCGTCATATTCATTGTAAATTGATAGCTGTAAGTTGGCTTCAAGTGCGCTATGCCGATAGTCTACCACAAAAAATTGATCATTACAGTGACTCGTGTCGATGCACCTGTCATATTGAAAAGGCTCATTGTCATTGTTTAATATAATGTGATAACTTGATGTTACATTAACATCTGATGCCATTTTCGATTTTGCATTTGTGGTTGGTCTCTGTCATCTTGTATGTATATTTCTTTTTTGCAGCAAGCAAAGACCTGACCAATTACCTCGTAAGCGAGATGGGAAAGTAGATTGGAACGAAGTAACAAATAAACTTTGTTATATGAATCGCGGACTCGAATTAACAAGATCGAACGCCTGAATTTTCCAGAGTTTGATTTTTTTTTCTCATTAACTTCAGGAAAGTGCAAGAAAAAACTTCAGTATTGAACAGAAACTTCTTGTACATATTTCTACACCTCTAAATTTGAAAACAGTAGGGGTAGTCAGTTTCGGTATCTTTTGTGCTTTCAAGATTTTTCAGGAAATGCCAAGATTTTTACCTTAAAAGATTAGTGGTCTTGGGGGGCTTAAAAGAGTAAAACATCTGTAATGCATTGAACATTCATATGTTCGCCACATTTAGTGCTGTATTTTTTAAAGTCGAAGGTATAAAATTTAATCTAAAGAAATTAAACAATAACACCAATTCTATTTTGAATAACAAATTGATACTTCTTATTATTCTTCTCCACTTTTATGGCTTGATTGTTCAGTGCACACTACAAGTTGCTTCAATGAATTACTGCTTACCATGCTTAGTTATGCGCTTATTTTCTGTTACTTTTAAATTTTATATTGCAAAAGGTTTTGTTATTCTGGTACTTAACAATTTCGAATATGCTTTGACTTTTGTTATGAACATCGTCACTTATAACGGGGGCAAATTATTCCAAATGTAGTGCTGGTTATTAATAGTGGTAATGATAATAAAAAGCCGGTTGAGTGAATATCAGCTTTTTAGTTTTCGAATATATTCGTTTTTATCGAGATTCGAAAAACTTATCGATTCATTTACCACTATTTATCACACGTTTATAAAAGGTTAAACTGTATAAAGCTGCGTGCTAAGCTACTTGTCAAATCATTTTTGCATACATCATTCGAATTTTAAATTTGAATTTTCTAAACAGGGAAAAAGAAAGGCAACAGCAAGCGAATAATCACCAGTAATAGAATAATTATGATTAATTATTTGTTTTTTTACCTCCATGTGTAGGAAATTTAGATTTGAATTTGATTTTAAAAAGATTTCATTTTGATTTGAAATATTAGAGGAATTAAAATTTCTCACAAAAGTCTTCGAAATTTTGAAAAAAATTAGTTTTTGATTTCGGAAATTGTAATTAAAATGACTCGTTGTGTTTAATTGCTATTGTATTTCCTTCCTTTTAGTTTCTTCACTAATATGATAATTGTTTGTAAAGTTCACTGCAGAAATTATTGATGTGACTGTATTGTAGTCGCGTTTGTGATACGATTGTAATATAAATAATGATGCTAATTTTTTACTGAACAATTCATGATTAATTACTAAGATTCGACAATGCTGATATGTTGTTTGTGTAAAAATAGCTCGATTACAATGGCTTGACTATTTGCTGAAGTTAGCTTTCTGACAGAAGTATACAATGATCATAATCTGTCTGTTAGCGAAGCGTTTAACAATTTGAACTGAACTTGGCTTACCACATTCTTCCAAAAATGCTTCTTACTAGAGTAAGAACTTATGCTAACTAATAATCTAGTCAGCATAAGCGTAACCTGTTATCAGTATTCATTGAAACGTTGCATTCATTGTATAACATTCTAAGACTAGGAAGTAAGATTGTACTGTTTTACTACTGTCTCATATATTTATTCTCGCCTACTGCATATGTAGATATTATTCATTTAATATTTTTTATTTATGTGAGGGTATAAAGAGGTTTTATTTATTCGCATTTTTTACAATTACAGTTCTGTTTACTGATTTTTCCTTTTTTTTTGTTCGATCACTTACAGTTCAAAAAAAAAGTTCCTTTGTTGCTTACATAATATCCGAATGCGATGATTTTCTTCAAAATATACTCGTTTGGCGAAAGTTCTGGAGGGATAAGATGAGTAATATGTTCAAGTTAATCGGTAATGTCTAATATATCCAAGCTAATCGATCGTTCTGATATATTCAAGCTGACCAGTCATGTTTGATACGACCAGGTTATCCAATTATGTATATCTCTGCATACCACTGCAGTGTTTTGGAATCGTTAGAGTATCGATTTTAGCTGCTGTAGAAGTAGATCTTTGTTTTATGAGGAAGTGGAAGGAAAAGTTTGTTTACCACATAAGAATTTGAGATTTTCTTTGAAATATTAAGTTCTATCAAGAATAATATAACATGATACATCGGATTCTGTTTGATGGCACGATGCAAGTAATTGAACTTAACGAATGTAATTTTGTTGTTGGAATTTTGAATAAGTCATGAAGGTTTTTTCTTTATGGAATGGAAAAAGAGGAAGTGGCTGAGAAATCTTTTTGCGCTGATTTTGATGATGAGGAAGAGTCGGAAGAACTGGAAATTAATCTCGCCTCATCATCGTTAGCAAAGGTTTGTCTTTTTTGCTACATTTGATGGGAAAGATGAAATTGCTGGATTTTTTTTTCGTGTTTTATAGAAAGGCAATATTTCGAAAGAAACAACTTTTTCTGAACTTGGTCTAAGCAAATGGCTTTGTAATCAGGTACGACATCTTGCCATGAATACTCCGACACCAGTACAAGTGAGGTTTAACTTGTTGCAAGCAGTTTCTCTTTCACAGTATCATCGTGTTTATTGGAATCCTTAATTGCTATAGAATCAGGAAGTATACCTTTAAGAAAGTCACTAAATTCCTATGTGTTTTTTGTTTCAGGTAAATTGTATACCTCATATTCTTGCTGGTAGTGATGTGTTGGGTTGTGCCAAGACTGGTACGGGCAAAACGCTAGCATTTGGTCTTCCGATCTTACACGAGGTAACTCTTTTTTACCGATACAGATAACCTAACCAGTAAATGTCTCGGGTGACTTCCCTGAAGCTGGTGTAACGTCTTTCTGATCTTTCTTTGCTTCGTATGTAATTGCTTCATATTATGGATAACATGTTTATTTCATTACGTCGATTAAATTTTCCAAATCTGTATAATGTTCGCATTACAGTTAGCAATTGATCCCTACGGTATCTGTGCATTGGTATTAACTCCAACTCGAGAACTTGCAATACAAATTGGTGATCAGTTTGCGGCACTTGGTACGCCAATTGGCCTTAAAATCGGTATCGTAGTAGGTGGAAAAGATCGTGTTGCCCAAGGCAATGATTTAGCTAGGTATGTGCTAAGAAATTTGATCATTTCATTAATTGTTAAATTTAAAAGAAGAAAAATGTTATTTCTAGACGGCCTCATATTGTTGTCGCAACACCTGGACGGTTAGCTGATCATCTGGAAAGTGACTCTGAAAATACTGGCAAGCTTTTCAAAAAACTACGATTTCTAGTGCTTGATGAAGCCGATCGTCTTCTAGATGGACAGTATTCTATAGAAGTAAGTGATATTTTGTAAATGCGAAAGAAAAATGGATTTTTGGTGACAGTTATTTTTGTTTCTATAGCGAAAATACTAAGTAATCGATATTCTATAGGCTACGATATAACATTGGCTTGAGTATTTTTTCACTTGAATGCTACGATGAGCGTAATCGATAGAAGAGAAAGAGGAATGTGAAGAAGTTTTCACGCGGTTAAGTTAATATATTTTGCAGCTAAAAACTATCTTGAATTTTCTACCAAAACAGCGACAAACGTTGTTATTTAGTGCTACAATTACATCGGCACTAAGTCAACTACACCAGGTGATTTTTTCAAAACTTTTTTCTTCATAGAAAAAAGTGAGCAATTAAATGAATGTTGAGCGGTACCACTTGCATTATTTTACTCTTATATTTCAGGTATCCGTCAAAAAACCATACTTTTTCGAAGATAAAAGCGAAATTGCTACGGTTGATAAACTGGAGCAAAAATACGTGCTTTGTCCATGTGCTGTAAAAGATGCTTATTTAGTATACGTTGTAAAGAATTTTCATGAGAAACATCCGGATAGCTTAATTCTGATATTTTCACATACATGCCGAGAATGTCAAGCGTTGGCAATTATGTTCCATGGACTGGGTTTCCAGGTTTCTTCGTCTTTGCATAATAAATTTATGAGCGAAAGGAAGAGAAGTGATATATTTTTTTAGAGTAAATAGTGTTCTCATCTATTAAAAGATTTTTCCAATGATAACCATTCGGACATGTCATTTCATAAGAATCTTTTAATGTTCGGTCTGGAATTTTGAAATGGCACTTAAACTCGAAATATTCAAAGTACCTAAAATAGATTGGGTGATTATTAACTGGGTAGAGAAAAATTGCAGGTCGGATCATTGCATTCTCAAATAAGCCAACAGGAAAGAACATCCTCTTTAACCAAATTCCGATCTGGTCGTATAAAAATTCTGATATGCACAGATGTTGCGTCACGTGGACTTGACATACCTCACGTAAGTTTTTTTACCGTTGATCGTAAAGGTACGTTGGATCATGAGGTTTTCAAAAATCTCGGTATTGCAAGCCTTTATTTCCCTAGGTTTATGGAAGTTGTGTCCAAACAGCCCTACATTAATGAAGCATAAAGCCTTCGTAATTTCTTATTCCATAAGATACGCTTTGTAAAACATTAGTTGTAACTATATAATTCAGGTCGATTTAGTTATCAATCACAACGTGCCACAAAATCCCAAAACTTATATACATCGAGTTGGTCGTTCAGCTCGAGCCGGAAGATTTGGTTGTGCACTTCTGTTTGTCACTCAATATGATATATTTTTGGTTCAGGAAATTGAAAAAGTAATTGGGAAAAAATTGGATAAACTCATTGTCAATGACAAAAAGGTTACTGTTATTACATTCTTGATCATAGTTTCAAAATTATCCGAGGGTTTCGGATGAATTAAAGGATTACTAGTTCTTCATTTAGGTAACGCAGTACGTAACACAAGTGCTAGTAACGAAACGCGAAGCGGAAATTAAATTGGATCAACAAAATTTTGGTGAAAGAAAAATAATAAATAAGCGAAAAGAAATGCTAATCGCTGGATTGGATCCTGATGAGGTTGAAAAAACCCTGAAAATGCAGCGTGAACAAAGGTAAATGTTGAGGGCACAATGTTTTGGTAATAAAAGATAGAATGGAATATATTTGTCGGTGTTACTTATCATTGATGCTATCATCTAAAGGATTTTCTATAATATAGAAAGATGTCAAAGGAATTTTTTGATATATAGATATACAGGTAACATACAAAGATGTGAATTTATTGTCACAACTGGAAACATTTTCTTCTTGCGAAAATGATTTATTACACAAGAAGTTTGTCTCAGTGAGCTATTGCATAAATACAGTAAAGAATATAATATAGTACAGTAAAGAACAGTAAAGAATATAATATAGTAAATTTCATGATATCAGTATATCATATTTTAAACGGCTAACTTTTTTCTTCACGCTCTAGTGTTATATTTTTAGTTTGATATATTTTCCAGGAAACAGACAGGGAAAAAGAGACGCAAACAATTGAAGAAAATAATCGATAAAGAAAAATTGAAAAAAGAGAGAAAAAAAATCAAATCCACAAGATAACTATTCGGGTGTTATTGTCAAAATAAACTTTGATTTAACTTTTCTCCTGACATCAAATTCATGTTACTAATAAAAATGCAGGCGAGAGGAGGGAGAGAACTTCAATTCCTCTTGTGAGGATAAGAGAGAAATAATTTCAAAAAGTTAGATTTCTTCTCATACTAATCAAAAATTTCAAACTAGTCAATTACAGTCCCAATTTTGTTGTATATATCGTCCTCTTTTCGCATTTTAAAATGTTTCAGTTAGTTTGGCCTGTAGAGTGACATTAAGCGGCGACAGTACTGTTAATTTTAATTCGTTATTCTGCTAAATTTATGATCAGATTTATTGAACAGTTTTATAAAAATTCACAAAATTATTTATGAAGGATGAAGGTAAAAGATATGAAGGTGGTTTTTGGAACAAAGGGAAAATTCCTGGGTATCATCAAAATTATCAAGTTTCGAATTTCTCAAATTTAAACGACGAATTCTGCAATAACAGCGGTCAAAATTATCCAAAAGAATGCGACGATATTAGGGGATGTTGGGTTGCTTGTTTGCAAAGTTCGTTGCGTTCTCGATTATTCGACGTTGCAAATTTTGCATTTCAAATTAAGGACTTCGAAATGGTTGCTGATGTAGTGTGTTTATCCGCCGTACCTGTAATTATGCAGATGTCCAGTTTTATTCTGAGTGATTTGAAATTTGAAATGATATTAAAGCACCTGTCATTTGTGTCTTTTTGAAATAAAACTTATAATGTTTTATTATCGTAGTATATGTACACCATTGAATTTCGCAATTTAATTTTGACATCATCTTTTCCATTACAATTTAAATGTTGAATTGAAATTCTGCAAAATTGAATTTTATAGAAAATAAGGCGATTCCTTCCCTCCAAACAAATATTGACATCATTTTCAAAATGTTTACTTGTGTTTTTTTTTTCCTCTCCTCTTCTTGCAGTCGCATTTGATAATCATTTTTTATTCCTACACGAAAGAAACATAGTTGTTCATTGTTAATGCTTATAAGAAAGAAAAGAAAGTGTAAAAGGATGAGAAATACATAGTAAATAATAGAATTCCATCTCTGTCTTTTTTTTTTCTCTTTTAATAATTACAAAATGAACGATAAAAATGGTTGGTGTTGTTTGATGATTGTTGATAAAATGAAATGCGTGAAGGATGGGAAAAAGATGCTAGAATAGTCGTCCATTTACATCATTGGTCGTTGAATTATTACGGGACAATGTCTGGTTTGATTTAATCATCTTTTTTTCCTCTTTTTTACGATAAATTTTGTATTAATTTCTCAGTTTTAAATTAGGCAAAAGATTTTAATCAGAAAAAAAAGGCGTAATTAAGCAGCATTTATTAATAAAATTTCAAGAAAAAATACTCTAATTTAACGTATAAAATGCTAGGAAACGCATTCATTGTTTTAATATAAGCGCAATCATTCGTAAATGATATATGTGACGTTGATATGATTGGATCATTTGAGTATGTACGCTTCGAATGTCTGGAAATTAGCACATATATTATTTCTGGCGTATCATTTTTTATAATGTTATTTTGGTTATGTTACGTTGATAATGTTACATACTCAACTTATGGCCACACATACACACATAGACACATATACATACAAACGCACATACATACATACATATACATAAGCTGATAAACATGTGTCTCAATCATCCAAGTCGAAAGCCGGAATCACATTCATCCAGTCATAGGACGATATAAGGAGGAGTGCAAAAATTCTTGGATCGGATAAACTTCCGCTATCTTCATTTCATCACTTTCCTTTTAATTTACACTTCTATGTTCTTTCAATTTATGATATTTTTAACAGATTCATTTATGTTGTTTTCACCCTTTGACCCTTTGTTTTTTATTTTCACCCATTGTTTTTTGTTTTTTTATTTTCACCCTTTGTTTTTTTTTTTGCTGGCAGATTTTAAACATTTAAAGTAGTTTCGATGAAATTAAAATTTGCATTTTTTATTAATATTTTAGAATTATGAAAGGAAAAAAATATATATATATAAAGGTTATTTAAGATAAAATTACAATTACTTCTATTTATTGCAGTTGTGCGGAAGAGGTCAGGTGAGATTACCTGCATGTCAATGTTTTGTTTTTGCGTTGTATAATTGAATGTTACTTACATTCTGTTACTAAACAGATGATTCCATCTGCTTATTTAATTAGAGATATTATGAATATATATATCATGTTCATGTCATATTTGTGTAGAATATTTGTTAATTGCTGTTTGCTGGGTAATTCTTTGGTTTGTAATAATTAATCGGAATTATTTAATATTTTTATATTAATTATGTTTTATAAACTTTGCGCATCCATTTCATGTTTTTAACAGTTATTTTCAGGCTTTTTATCAGAGTATCAAAACACCCTAAACTGGTGATTCGGTGTGATAACTATAAAATGGCATTAAATAAATTAATTGGGACATTTGGTCGTCTATCTATAAAGAATGTCTTCCAATATGGACAGAAACGTGCTGCATCAACAATGAGCGTTCGTGATGCACTCTCAATGGCGTTAGACGAAGAATTATCACACGATGATCGTGTTTTTTTATTGGGTGAAGAAGTTGGACATTACGATGGTGCTTATAAGGTATTCATGTAATATTATTTTGCCATTTGAGTTGTAGTAATACTATATCATTTGTCAAAATAAGCACTTCGAAATCGAAAAGAAAGTGAAAGAAGAAAATTATATTTTCAAAAGTTCACTTACATTTTGTACTTTCTTCACATAGCAGCTTGATTGATATGAACCAAAATAAAGGGCATACATTTAGGAAATTTTTTTCCTTCTTAATGATATACATCAAAAAACAAAAATGCGCAACCATCTGTCGGTTCGTCGTTATTTTTGATTGATATGTGTTTGTAGGAGAAGAGCATACTCAACAATAATATTTGTTGCCACTTTTTCCTTTTTTTGCCAATATTTCCACAAACCAAAAATCAAGCGATTCTTTTTCAAGGTATCAAGAGGATTGATGCGTAAATTCGGTGAGTCTCGCGTCATAGATACTCCAATTTCGGAAGCAGGCTTTTGTGGTTTGGCTGTTGGTGCAGCATTTAGTGGTCTTCGTCCGATTTGCGAATTTATGACTTTCAATTTTTCTATGCAGTGTATGGATCAGATTATAAATAGTGCAGCCAAAACACATTATATGTCAGCGGGCCAAGTGAGCGTTTTTGTTAATGTTAACACATTTTTCTCCAATTTTCCAATTAGTACTTTTTAAATACTTGAAATCAGAACCTTCAGTATCAAATTGATATCAATTAATTATATCTTCTGATTTTCCTAAGGAGGACAAAGTTCACTTTTGGCATCTGTATTAGTCAGTTATAGTATGATAGCAGCATAAAAAATTCTAGCTGCATTGTCCCATTGTTTTTCGTGGACCAAATGGAGCAGCTGCCGGTGTTGCTGCACAACACAGTCAGGATTTCACTGTATGGTTTTCCCATTGTCCCGGATTAAAGGTATTCTTTTTTAACTTTTTTTCAACTTTTTGCTTCCATATTCTATTCTTTTTGTTTAGTTTGAAGCAGACCTTCGTAAATCAAAATTGTTTGAATTGAAAATTTTTCTTTTTTTGAAATGTTTGATACTTCTGTTATTTGATCTTTAATCAGTTCATCAGATTTTCTAGGCTTTACAATCGGACAGCTGTATTCATCAGCAGTATGGAACAGTGTTTGTTGCAAAATATTGCTTAACTTAAAATCTTTTGATGTTGAATGAACTACTGAAATAGAACTTTGCTGAGTCATAGTACATCAAGTTTTTGATCTTTCACCTTGCAGGTTGTAACACCGTATTCTGCTGAAGATGCGAAAGGTTTGCTGAAGTCAGCTGTTCGTGATGATAACCCTGGTAGGTAATTATATCTATGAGAATGTTTGTATGCTAGAGATTACCTTTCCATTTCAAAATATGTTAGTACTTTAATAGGAACTACTACACATTTGATTTTTCCTTTTGTATTTGCTAAGATAAGAATTAAAAAAACGTCCTTTAACCGAAAACTGAATCAACAAATCAGTGAAGTGATTCATGTCTCAACTGTTTTTCAAAAAACCAATGTCCTCTCATATCATTTATGTAACAGTAACCTACCTGAATAACTAGTTTTTCAATATTATTAGTAATACTAATGTTTATCAGTTGTTAAAATGCCACGATAATATGGTATAATATTAACGAGAAGACAATGCAGAATGAGGGAAACTTCTCCATATAGGCTACTGCTTGTTATTCTGATAATTTAATAATAACTTTAAAACAATTTTTTCAATAGAAAACTTCATATACATATCTAATGCATTATCAATTCCATATTTTGTCATTAAATTTTCGTGATCAATAAGTGCTATTTTTACAAATATCTCATCAAAATATTCCCTTCCTTTAAAAGAACATTTACCAAATTCTTAATATAGTATCATTTCTAGCAATGAAATGTTCATATTGCGATCCTGAAATAAAGACAGCTTAACGATATTACTAAACTATTATTATTCACTTTTTTTTCCAAACAAAACGTGAAAAACTGCTAACGCTAATCCAATAAATAAGACAGATAAAAAGAAATATGTTGTCAAATTTCCGTTTCACATTTGCATAATGGAAACTTTTTTCTATTACTGGTAACTTTGTATTATCTTAAGTTGCAATTGGTCATTACTTAAACGTTTGTGCTATTTCGGATTATCCCATCCTAGGCATAGGTGAATATTGACCTTTGCAAAAATTTGTTCATTTACATCCTTCCATACCTACTATCTCTTTTTCATTCGTAAAGTCTTCCAATCGGAGGATTTCCGTATCTCTGAACAGGTTTGCAAGCAACTAGTGTCATTTGATCTAAGCGTTTAACGGATATATCACAGTCTGGTACGATACGCCGGAAACTGCAACAATTAGTCTTTTTTTTTTTAAAAAAAAATCCTTCTTGGAATATTTGGATGGGAGTACTGATTTACTGCAGAGCACTGATTCGCTGAAGGATTTTAGGTAATGCTGAGAAAATTAAAAAGTGGTAAATATAAATAATTGGGAAGTAAAGTAGTTGTGCCATTTATAATTTGGACAAAACATTGAAACAAAATTTGGAAATGGAATCAAAATTGAAGATTATAGTTTAGCAAGGTCCAAAATTTAGCTTTATTAATTTTTTTTAGTGGTTATGTTAGAGAATGAATTGTTGTACAGCGAAATGTTCCCAATGTCGGATGAAGCACTGAAGGACGATTTTATGGTACCTCTTGGCAAAGCTAAAATTGAGCAAGAAGGTACAGATATAACACTTATCTCATATTCAATTGGTTTGGTACCAACAATGAAAGCGGCCGAACAACTAGCCAAGGAAGGTATTAGTGCTGAAGTAAGTTCATATGTCATCTTTTAAAATTTTCTTGAATTGAATTTGGTAGTTTCAATTCTTTTTATTTAAATCGTGTCAAAATTGTATTTCTTGAAAAAGGAAGATTGATGTAGGAAAGGAAATCGGATAAAATTTGGTTAAAAGATAAAGTCGAATTAATAATTAATTTTTGGTTTCTTTTCTATATCGCATTTTTCAGGTGATTAATCTCCGATCCATTCGCCCGTTTGATTTTGAAACGGTCAAAAAATCAGCCATGAAGACTCGCCATGTAGTAACTATTGACAATGGATGGCCATTTTGCTGCGTAGGATCGGAAATCTGCATGCAGGTTTGCACTTTACATTGTACTCTGCATTGCAGAAAATTTTTTTCCATCTTGGAAATTTAACTATTGTTCTTTGCCTACTAATTATTTCGGTTTAGTTAAACGAATCAGAAGCATATGACGCTCTGAATGGTCCCATATATCGAGTAACTGCTACCGATGTCCCATTGCCATTTAGCGAAACTCTCGAAAGGGCAGCACAGCCACAACCGGAAGATGTAGTAAAAATGGCGAAAAGATCATTGAAAAAATAAGGCTATAGGAAAATTAATCTTTATTTGTCACAGTGGAATTTCTGATAATGTAAAATTTCTGATAGGTGGTTTTATGGTGATGAAATTTGGTAAAATTTCTGGTATCTGATAGGTATGGTGGCAAGTCATCTATTTGTTAAATTGCCGCAAATGTTGTAAAAGTCTGCGAAGTTTCTGTTGACTATAATTGTTAAGGTTCAGTTTCTCCTAAAACATTTCGATTTTTGCAATAATTAATTTTATTGTACATTATTACGATAGAATCGTATTCATTTCTTAAGCAATGATCTTTTGAGCCATCCAGAAGAAGAAATTATCCATCTTAAAATTTATTCAGGAAATATAAGGGAAATATAATAAAAGGAAATATAATAAAAGCTTTAAATTAAAATACAAAGCTAGCACATACAATTTGTTGACAACTTGAATAACTTTTGGCAATCCGCTCTGGTTCACAACATACTTGCTTGAATTGCTCAAATTGTTACAGTACAAGTGAAGGTGCATAAGTAGATGTAGATAAGTGTAGATAAGTAGGACCGGAAGACAGTTTTCTAGACTACTCCGGTATAACTGTGGGCTGGCGTCCAATAACTATTATCTTGCTTAACTATCACCTGTTACCATGCTTTATTACCTTGCTTAACGCGGCTCATGATTTCATTACTTTTGCGCAATTAATAACTCCAAGATGAAGGAATCATCCATGATATGCGTGATCAAGATAGTTGTTAATGATGTAGTAAGTACGTTTGCATAGTATCATTAATATTTACATGTAAGAATCGGTATAGAAAAGATAATCTGGTTTCCGATTAGGATACAAATTACTGGAAAACAATTAAAAAAATAAAAAGCGAAATTTGAAAAAGTATTTTTTTTATTTCTTTCCATTCCTCAGATAACTTTTTTAATTATTAAATACATTGATTTACATCTATTAATTATTGATTAGCAATGGACACTTTGACCCGCCGTCGTATTCTTGGTACAACATCTTTGATCACTTGGGACGTTTTTCGTTCACCTTTTGCCATTTGAAACAATTGTGTCAATGCCGGATCGCTTTCTTTCTTGCCAATCATCTTCATACAATCTTCCATCAATGCTCTAAACCAATATTCGGTAACATTGATCATTGATCATTATTTGATATTGACCTTCATTTTTAAATTAATTGTAGGGAAGTGATTGCAAGAATATGATAGTGTATTTATGTGAATTGGAAGGGAAGTTGTATAGATTTCATCATAAAATGGTCGAAAATTTGTCATTTCTTTGGAGAGTTCGTCACGAATTCTCGGGATGTTCGGGAAATCTGTGAAGTTCCGAACTTATCATAGGCATATACGTATGCATCATTTCATAGAGATCACTGCATAACAAATCATAACAAATAAATGCATAACAAATGCATAGCAAATCGAATACTATTGTTGAATCATATTTTGGAATCATAATAAGTGAACGATTATCTAATCAGTTAATTACTTGTCACATACTTCTAGTAAAAGGGTTCAAAAAAAAAAATAAGTTTATTTTGCAAAAATCACTCGCCGAATATTTCGAATCATATCAGAAATGATGATGATCAACTATAATAAGGAAATGTTATCTGTAACATAAAAAATAACCGTGATTCGTTGCTTGTTACATCATCACGAATGTCAATAAGAGTGAAAAGGAATTCTTGAGTCATTTCCGGATATTTACGAAGTAACGATGCTATTTCCAGCAAAAGCATATCCTTATCACGAAGTTTGATAAATTCAGCAATTGAATGTAACACATTTGTTAAATTTTTCCCCTATAACATCGAGAATTTTGTTTTAAATAACTATTCCTTACAATAATAAATAATGAATTAATTAGTAGTAGTAGCAATAATGGTAATAATTTGAAACAAGTAAGTAATAGTTTTTTTTTCTTTTCAAATAATATTTGAAACAAATTTGACATTTGTTTGATATTTCTTCTTTTTTTCCAAATAATATTTGAAAAGAAGATGAAATTAAATCAATTTTAAAGGAAAAAAATTCTCATTCTCTTACTCGACGTTTACCAAATATTAAATTAAATTCACTGGTACTAAATTTGATGTGGTGTAGTGGCATGATGGTTTGTAAATAGATTATAGCAAATTATTGAATGATACATTAATACTTTCCAGAAGTTTCAAGCAATAAATATATCAAGATGATACAATAATCATTGCTTTCCAACAAGAATTGATAAATGATGGCAGTATGCATTCAATACAGTATGTCAGTTTCAATATCTAGTAAGTTACGATATGAACTGCACTAAACAGTTCAATAGTATTGATAATAAGTTTGATGAAATAGTATCTTATATCGATACAGTATACCAGTTATTATCTTGTAAGAGGTACGATATGAGTTATCACTGAGCAATCCAATATAGCATTGGTAGTTTTGATGAAAAGAAAATCTGTTAAAAATCTACCTTATTAATATAATTAAGTTGTGCATATAATGGATTAAATGTTACACTTATTGTTTCAATATCATTTTGAAGGCATTTTGCAATAATACAACGTTTCCGATATTCGGTACAAGTTAATTTTCTAAAATTAATTAACAATTATAAAAAAAAAATCATTTCCTTGGAAATTTATAACAAATTCAATGTGTAAATTTTGGAAATATATAACTCGTATATATATATGAGAGAGAATTAATTTTACCTGCTTGCAATAGCATTTAAATATTCAGCCACAATTTTGAATTCAATAAAACGAAGTATTTCAATATGAATATCACATCGAAGATGTTTATAATCATTCTCATAATCTCTTATTGTTTCACAAATTGTTCCAATAATATTTGAATCTTTCATCCTAAAATTTTACAAATTTGAATTTTTTCTTTTCCTTTACTAAATATTACCATTAAATTAAATGTTCTATCGTTATGAATAATTAAATTTCATGAACGAAAAATTATTCATAAAATTAGCATTTGCCACAAGATTAGTTATTAGCTTTAGCTATCAGCAGTCCTGAAAAAAAAGAGGATAATATGAGATAGATAAGTTTGGTTGCAAAAGGTATACCAGCGGAAAGTTTCCTTAGGTGGTATTAACGAGATATTTATTTTTTTGTTTTTTGCATTGTCACATTTCTCCTTGAAGGTGATTTTGCATGTATTTTTATTAAATTTCAATGTAGTTGAAACATTTAAGTAAATGTTATTTTCAAATTAGTTTACCATTGTTTGCTTAACAATTGTTCGAAATAATTATAAAGATCGTTACAAATTTCATCACAAAGCATATTCATCCTGTAAAAACAAGAAAGATGGAATAATATTAAACTTTTATTTCAAATCAAAAAAAAAGACATCATAAATGGAATAAAAATATAAATTTGATAAATTAATAATAATAATAATGATAATAATAATAATAATAATAATAATAATAATAATAATAATAATAATAATAATAATAATAATAATAATAATAATAATAATAATAACTAATAATAATAATAATAATAATAATAATAATAATAATAATAATAATAATAATAATAATAATA